AGTATTCTCCTAAACCCGAGGTTTCGTAAACGTGCTCCGGACCACGTTATCGAACCTGTTGACGATTCCGGTTGAGAGAGTGAAACCCATCAACAGTCCTGTAGAGAGGCCACCCGGCTTTGATTGGTTGATGGAAATACCAAGGACAACTGTTTATGGATTTCGTTAACAATTGACGAACGAAAAGAACCCCGCACCTTCCTTATGGGACATCTCCCCCCGGGTAAAATCTGATGCAACTTTGAGATGTTGCTCAGCTAGTCATTCTGATCAAAATCCCTCGCGGACCGAAAGAGATCCCATGTGCGGTTTTCGAGATATTCGCCTTTTAATATGCGTGAACGAAGGTCCCGCCGGTCGGACTATTGTGCACTCGATGCTCGGACTCCGACGCTCACGAGGCTTTGCTGAGCAAAGCCTCGTCGTTTGCTCATCGTCACCGGCGCGGGTGGTCTTATCTGGGTCATAATGGGTCAGGGTATAAGTTTAGTTCTTCGTAAATTGACTTTTTTTTCCTGCGCATGATCACATTCGGTCTCTCAGGCAAAATGTTAGTTTATGACGCATTCTTAAAATTCAATTAAGAATGAAGTAAACAGCAATTACAGGATTATTTTATGTAAATTGAAACATAAATTGTGGCTATCAATACGGGACGGATGCAAATTCCGCCACCGCCTGACAGACTAATTTCTCCTTTTTTTTTTTCTTTTTTTTTTAAAAAAATTTGCCGGTTACTTCAGTGTAACTCAGGTGTTTATCCTGTTTTTCGTGGGTTATATTCGGGCTCCGTTGGCTTTTGTCGTCATCAATAATGTACCTTTGCGTTCGGATAGCTTCGGCATTCTTCAGGTAGGTTTGGCCTATTCATTAAGTACACTTCGTGGTCATTACAAATGACCCAAGTAAGTAAACTATTTTAGTTTAGATAGCACCCGTTAGGCGCGCCCTGATTCACCTCAAATAGGAAACTAATTTCAGTGGACTTTTAACTGCCATTAAAATTGCAACCTCCACTGCAGATTTCATTGTGCATCTAAAAAAAGTTGACTTTTATACTTTTTCTGCAGATCGCAATGCAGGAGCGGTGATACACACTCATTCAAAAGCAGCAGTGATGGTGACTTTATTGTACCCAGGTCCTGTTTTTCGGATTACTCATCAAGAAATGATTAAGGTAAGTTTCCTTGGCAATGAGACTGCTTTAGCTCTCAGAGGCCTCCTTGACCTTAAGAGAGCTTGTCCCTCAGGTGGTAGATGGGGAAAAGTCTTGGCAGATATGGCAGGTAGATGGTTATCTACTTCTCAATCTAATGGAAGAGGGGTGGATTGGGCTCTAGCCATTGAAATGGTAACCAATCTAGAAAGTAAGTACAACTTCAGATACTGCACAGTGAGAAGAAATGTGTCATTGCGCATGGATACGTAGCATACCGATTATACTTCTCATAAATAGAGTAGCCATAAGCAGAAATGTTGAAATGATGCTATACAAGTACAGATTTTAGAGTTTGACCTCAATATTTCTGTTGCAACAACGATCAGACCAATCAGAGTGAATAGAGAAATCTTTACCAAACGTTTTCGTAATGGTTTAGTCCCTCCAAGAAGGACCAAGCTACATTATTAGAATAGTTTTGCAGAGTATTCTATTTACTGTGAAAGGCATCGTGAATAAGAACCTTTTTTTCAGGGTATCAGAAATGAAGCTAAAAATTGCTACTACAGATATGATGAAGAGTTGGTTGTTCCAATAATTGAAAATACGCCTTTTGAAGAGGATCTCAAAGACTCAATGGCACAGGCAATGAAACAATACCCTGAAACTACGGCAGTTCTAGTTAGGAGACACGGAGTATATGTTTGGGGAGACACATGGAAACAAGCCAAAACACAGTAAGTATTACCTACAGATATCCTTCTTTTTTAAGGAGTTTTTATGTATTGGTGCGGAATGGTCGAACAGATGGTTTGACCACGAGACTCGGAGGAAACAACCTTGAGGGAAAAAGAAAGAACAGAACAAACACTGGAGCTGTCCTTGATGAAGTCTCTAAGTGAGGAGAACCTAAAGCATCTCACTGAAACCGAACCGACCACGAAAAGACAAGAAGAACTAAAGAAGTAAATCCTTAGAGGGCTTACCCCGATTTCAAAACTAACATACTGTAATAAAAAGTGATTTTTATTTCAGTATTGAAATGAAAAAGAATTGCTGACACAAGGGTGCGTCTACCTAACGAGGAGGATGTTAGTGCACTGCTGGAGCTTGGAGGAAAGAGCTCTCTCCTCATTGGCCTGGAGCCAGACGCGCCAAATCCAAACTTGGGCTCTTGTTGACAAAACTGGACTGATACCAATGAGCAAAGACCCCCCTACCCTCTAGCAAGAGAATTATGGGGCTCTCAGAACCACCCCACTACAGATACTTCACGTTCTTTGATTTTTGCTTTCGCAAGATAGCAAGAATCAAAGACATGAATCTCCAATTTAAACAAAAAACTTTTAACTTAAATAACTTAAGGTTCTTTGAAAAGCTTCAAACCCCCCTCACCACTGTGATGGTGGTGAATTCCTTCTTTGGGAAGACTTCTCATGGCATTTATTGAAGAAATAAATAAATATTTGTACAAATTAAAAATTTGATAATCATGTGAGCATACAATAAGAGATTAATGCATGGTAATAAGAAATTACATTCTCGGAGTCAGAAACATATTTTCAATTTCTGAAAAGAAAAAATTCATTGAACTTAGAGAAATGCCTTATTTTAGGTTTTACAGGATAATTAAAACATGAATTCATTGAATTTATTTCAATACACTAGATTAGATTACATAGGTTAACTTATTTTAATACCAAAGGAAAATCAGACTGTTTTTTTACGACCATAGACAACAGGTTTAGATTAGTCGATTCAGCCCAGCGAACTTCCTATTCTAAGTGAGATTAATTAAAAGAAACATGTTTAATGGACTCCTTTTTTCTTCATTCAATTTTATTCCCTAGGGGCCGGGACACTTAGCAGAATGCATCCGTAACATTACCATACTGCGCATATTTCAGCCGTTACATTTATGTTTTTCTACAGGCCATGCATAAATATAGTCGTTTTAATCAAGAAATTTGCCATCATCCTTACATTCAGTGGCTAACTGATTACAAAAATGGGAACAAACTCATTAACTGAGCAGTTAATTTCACCAACGTCACTAAGTTTTTCTTTAAAAAAAAAAATTAGGATTAGGATGGTTTCACAAAATTATGCTTAAAAACGGCTGACATGGTTCTTTGATTTTAAACAAAAAACATCAGTTGATTAACGAAGAGAAAATTTCATAAGAGCAAGTTGCACAGAGTGAATTCTTTGACAAGGGATTGAATATAGCGAGGTTTGGGAGAATTAGAGACGACAACTGCGACAAAAACTTGATCGCCAGGGCAAAGGACCTTCCAGGACGGTCAATCATTTAACCATTGGAATACCAGACCGCAAAGATTACTTTGGTCCAGCCTCAAGTGTAAAATAATTTGGTGAAACTTCCTACTCACTTTGGGTCTAGACTTACAGTTTCCAGATAGTGGGGACAAAGGACATAACATCTTTATCAAGCCTGTAAGTGTAGTAAAACAAAATTAAATATAAATAAATAGGGATTTATGTTTGACTTATTGGTGCTTACCAGCATCAGATGGAGTTTTTGGAATGAATGTTTTTCAATAATTCAGGGTAAGAAAAAACAATTATCATATAGATAGGTTGATGAACTGGAAGCCAGGGACGAGTTCCATAGGACGCCGTTCTGTTGTGAGCGGATGATTGCAGCGCATTCTCGCGTAGGACCCTAGTCAACTCAGAGGATCCTTCCCCCCGAACCTCGACTCATCCATCGCCCGCTCCAAAAGTAAGGTTAAGCCGAAGATTGAAAAATAACACATAAGGCGGCTGAATTCTTGAAAAATAAGTATATTTTTGGCGGTTTTCGACCCCCTTCGACGAGGAAGGGCTCGTCGCATGTGTTAATAGGGTGAAAAATTCGATTTTTTGCAGTTCTACGCGATCCAACGGATTTTAATGAAGTCCAACAACTGATAACAGCAGTAAGTTGCGAGGATCCTTCGCAAGATAACAGCACTAGTACCTGCTCACGAATTTTACATTGGCTCTTACGGGAGTCCAGGGTCCTATAGAACTGGTCCCTGTGGAAGCTCTTAAATGTTTCCATTATTACTGATTGCTAATTGGTTACATCCCTTTCCAAACTCTCCTGACAGTTGGAAATAACACAAAATATAAATTATATTGTTTAACAAGGAAATATAAATTTAGTTTTGTAACTTGAAAACACCGCATAAGGGAGTGAAATCCTTAAGGCAGGGATTGAAACTTTTGAAGTCACCCATTTACATGCCAAGGACTAACATACATGAAATTTCAACTTAATTTGACCAGAGAGCGGTGGGTTTTGGTGGTCACACATCGTCTTCTGCGGCCATTGTACGCTTAAAAATAGCAAAAATCGAAAATAAAAAAAGCGGCGGCCCACTCCTGATTTTGCGGTTCTCAATATTTCAATCTAGAGACCTTCCTTGACATTTTTATCAAAAAAAATCGCGGATGGTCTTCAGAAAATCAACTTTTTTCAAAACGAACTGTAACCCAGCTTTGCCACTAATTTCAGCCATTGGAGTCTCAGACTTCAAGCGCTCCTAACTTCTGTTGAAACACTAGTCAAAAAACTAAGAGTGATTCTAGTAGCATTCTTTGTCTAGGTACTTTGATTTCTGCAACAACCGTTTTTGTCAAAAATCGCCTAAAAAGAGACATTTGCGAAAATCACCAAAATTGGGATTCCTTCAAATTTCCCACTTCTTTCAGCGTGCTCTGGCGGAGGATATACGCATTTGATCAAAACTTTGATTTGCAACTCGCAATCAGAATTAAATGTACTTCCATTTTGCAAATAACTCATTTTGCCATACGAGTTATGAACGTGTTTTAGAGAAAAAATGCTGAAGTGCACCAAATGGTGAAGTGTTTTCAAGATGGCGGCCTTAGCGGCAAAAATCTAAGGTGGCGAAGTTCAGATTTGGATTCAGCGCTAAAAAAAGTATAGGTGTTGCTTGACACACATATGCTTGAATGTTCTTCGGAAAATTTTCCAGTTGAAGCCCTTTTTTGGAATGGATTGACGGATCTGTTGTAGGATTTAAGGTTCCACGGAAGAACGGGGACGAAGGCGGACAAATGGTACACGGCCTGAAGCCTACGCGAAGTGCTGTAAGAGTTGGGGTTTTACGGGGAAACGGGGTTGAAGCCGGGAAAACGGAACACGAACCGCAGGAAGACTGTCGATTCAAGGCATTCCAAGGGAGCCTATAGTAGGGTGGATCGAATTTTTCGACTTTGAGAGAAGAAACGCGTATCTTCGAAAATAAGTTGTCAAGTGGGCCCCATATGAAGTACCCAAAATTTTGCCGCTTAAAATTGACCCCTTAGTGCCTCATGAAGGCCTAAAAGGCCTAAATTTTTAATATATTATATTAAAGGTTCAAACACATGTTTCCTTACAGATTTTGTCAAATTGTTTACCTGTGAAGGTCGTAAATTTCGTCCGTTTTGACGTATCGTGCACGAGTAAAGCACAATTGACCTGTTTTCACCCGATAAATAGACGGTAGCGTCCTCCAGAATGGCCCATCTACAGTAATGTCGCAAAAATAAGTGTGACTAGTCTATCCTTACAGATTTTGCCGAATTACGATCATTAGGGCCGAAATTTCGTCCGTTTTGGCGTATCGTGCACGAGTAAAGCACAATTGACCTGTTTTCACCCGATAAATAGGCGGTAGCGTCCTCCAGAATGGCCCATCTGGCCCATTTCTTACCGTTCACCCACAACCATGCGGAGAGGGCGTTCGAGCGATGCACCGCGCGGATCGTCGCGCTGCGTCCACGTGGTGCCCGCTTTGACCGTTTGGGGCCGGCCGATCGGTCCAGGGAAACCCGGCGCGACGCGCGGCGGCAAGGTGCCGGCACCGGTCGGTGTCTATGCAGCCGTAATCTCATTGGCAAATCCCGTGTTTGGGGAATTTCAGCTATGGAGAATCTTTCAAAGTTAGATAAGATGAGTGACGATCCACGACCCTCGGAGTTGTAGTGCTGACCTACTGTGATCAGTTGTCGCTCAAGTTTCTTATCGTTACGATCTCGCTCCTGTGACTCGAAGTGAAGTGACTTGTATCTCGATCTTTCTGTCTCTCCAAAACAGCTCTTTTCAGTGCTCAATTATCGCGAACGGAATGGCGAAGAATACGCCCCAAAGTTCGTCGCAGCCAATTTTCGGCTCGTCTGCAAAATTAAGATGAACTGTTTAAGCAGCCTATACGGAAGTAATAAAATATTATTTTTACACTTGTGAAGTATTACGATCGGAAAACGGTGGACTTTAACCAACAGTGCATAAAGCGGTTGACCGTGTTGTGGAAAAAGTTCGTGAAATTTGGTGCCGAGCATCAATCCCGACTTATTCGCTAAGCTATGCAACTACGAGCAAATATCAAAAAGTTTGTTCGCCACTCTCCTAAAGTCTTCATTTTTTTACTCCAGGTTTATTTTTATTTTCTTTATTGAAGCATTTAACAATTTTCACGTACTTCGCGGGAACTCGAAGTAGTACTGATTTTGCGAACAAGTCGGAATTAATGCTCGGTCGAAAATTGGCTGCGACGAACTTTGGGGCGTATGCTTCGCCATTCCGTTCGCGATAATTAAGCACTAAAAAGAGCTGTTTTGGAGAGACAGAAAGATCGAGATACAAGTCACTTCACTTCGAGTCACAGGAGCGAGATCGTAACGATAAGAAACTTGAGCGACAACTGATCACAGTAGGTCAGCACTACAACTCCGAGGGTCGTGGATCGTCACTCATCTTATCTAACTTTGTAAGATTCTCCATGGCTGAAATTCCCCAAACACGGGATTTGCCAATGAGATTACGGCTGCATAGACACCGACCGGTGCCGGCACCTTGCCGCCGCGCGTCGCGCCGGGTTTCCCTGGACCGACCGGCCGGCCCCAAACGGTCAAAGCGGGCACCACGTGGACGCAGCGCGACGATCCGCGCGGTGCATCGCTCGAACGCCCTCTCCGCATGTTTGTGGGTGAACGGTTAGAAATACGCCAAAACGTACGAAATTTCGACCCTTGTGGTCGTAATTCGGCAAAATCTGTCACACTTATTTTTACGACATTACTGTAGATGGGCCATTCTGGAGGACGCTACCGCCTATTTATCGGGTGAAAACAGGCCAATTGTGCTTTACTCGTGCACGATACGTCAACACGGATGAAATTAACGACCTTCACAGGCAAACAATTTGACAAAATCTGTAAGGAAACATGTGTTTGAACCTTTAATATAATATATTAAAAATTTGGGCCTTTGAGGCCTTCATGAGGCACTAGGGGGTCAATTTTAAGCGGCGAAAGTTTGGGTACTTCATATGGGGCCCATTTGACAACTTATTTTCGAAGATATGCGTTTTTCCTCTCGAAGTCGAAAAATGCGATCCACCCTAGCCCATAGCCTCGAGGCTTTAGCCTGAAGCATTGGTCTACACGGAAGCAGAATCCTGAATCAGCAACGACATCCGTGACCAGGCACTGAAGAACCAAGTCCTTAGTCTGGCAACCGACTCATGTAAACCTGCTGATGCACTGCAAAATTGGGTACCGACGGCTCTCGTCCCCGCTTTTTCGCCCTGCCTGGTGCACGGTGTTGGATAACTCCTTTGAATCTTTCCCTGTCCTACCAGCACCGCATCTAAGACCAAATATCCGTTATACAGGGTGTCCCAGAGCACCCGTACCAGGCCTTTTTCTCGGTTGATTCCTAAAAGTCGGGGTTTTTGATCGAATTTTTATTCAATTTCATTAGAACTGATAAGTCCAAAAAATTTCTCGTGCAATTGACCCCTAAAAATTCAAACTTGGACCACTTTACGCCCAAAAATGATCCGTTAAAGAGGGATTCAGCGGCCCCCTCCACAATTCCCCTTGGGTCAAAAATTAACGCAGATTCTCGGGAGAAAGATGGTTTCCAAGTAATCGACCCCAAGGAATCCGACTTTCATGGTTCCGAAGCCCCTGTAGCCTCCCTTGGGGGGAAATGGAGAAGGCAAAATTTCAAAAGTCGGGGGAAATTGTACCCCTCATTTTACCTCTCAAGGGTGGTGGGGGAGGGGGGGGCCTCGGGGCCATGAAAATCGGATTCCTTGGAGTTGATTACCTGGGAAACATCTTTTTCCGGAGAATCTGCGTCAATTTTTGACCAAAGGGAAATAAAGGAGGAAGCCGCTGTTCCGAGTTTGAATCTTCAGGGGTCGATTTCACGTGAAAGAGCTTGTTGCAAAAACGGCTTTTTTCGCTCCCCCTCTGGAATTTCTTCAGACTTTGTCCATTGATCACTCATACTCATAATTACAGCTCCGCACAGACCCACCGAGCGGCCGGTCGGCGCTCGGTGGGCCTCTAAAATAGCGCTACGGAGCTGTAATTTTAAAAAAGTGAATTTTTTGGAAGTATCTGTAATTTTCGAACTCACCTACCCTTCAAGGGTCCCTAAAAATGCATTTTGCACGGTTTGAACATTTAATCTAATTTAATAACGGTCAAATCCGGCTTTTTTGCGCGCGAAAATCTGTCGGCGTGCGTTGAGCGGAAACTTCAATCGCTCATAACTCCGGAACTGTTTGGTTCCCGAGCTTATTGGACCACTCGTTGGATGCGGAAAGAGACGAACAATTTAAAAAACTGGTTTTGGTTCAAATAAAAAATTAAAATCTTTGCAACCTCTTTGTTTAAAAGAAATTTTTTAGACCCAAAAACTGGAAAAAAGCACATATGTTAATTTAAAAATCTGATTTTGGGATTTGGACCTTAAAAATCATAAAGTATGCAATTTTAGAAGATTTTTCTGTATAGGTCCGGCTAAACTGTACTATAGAAATAAAGATAAAAGGAACTAGTCAGGATAACGAACAACAAGAATGAACACAGAGGATTTGTTGAGCAGGCCATGCCGTGGGCCTAAGCGAACACAGGACGAAACACTGAAGAATGACTAACTCAAAAAAAAGAAGACTCTCACCCGCAAATAGACCGGAGCGGAGCTCATAAAAATAAATCTAGTTGGCCCCAAAAGGGGACCAACTCACAGAGAAAATGTACTCACATTTTGATGGGATGTAAGAGAAATTCCGGGAACGGGAATGGAAAAACTCACTGACTCTTCGCACGTCTGCAGCTCGAATGCGGGAATGGGGTCTGCGCAGGAATAGACAGGAATCCGTCCGCTCACGCGCGGACGCCCAGAACCCAACGGCGGGAAAAATTTGAAATGTAGGAGTGAGTGGGGGGAAGGAGGGGGGACCCACTGTACATTTCGTCTAAATCGAACTTCGATATCTTTCTTCGTCCAAGAGATCGAGGTTCACAGGTTTTGCCTTCCACCCCCCTAGCCCTCAGCCCCCAAAATGTTTTGGGGGTCTGAAAATTTGGAAAAAGAAGCGCCCAAGTATAAGTAATCAATAGAGAAAGTCTGAAGAAATTTCAGAGGGGGGCGAAAAAAGCCGTTTTTGCATCAAGCTCTTTTTCGGACTTTTCAATTCTAATGAAATCGAATCGAAATTCGATCGAAAGCCCCGACTTTTAGGATCGTGACCCCCTTAACCCCCTCCCAGGGGGGCTGGGGGGGGGAGTTCCGATACCATGAAATTCGGATCCCTGGGGGTCGATTCTCTATTCAACCCTGTGGTGCCCGACTTAGTTCGACTTAAATCAACCGAGAAAAAGGCCTGGTACGGGTGCTCTGGGACACCCTGAAGTTTTACTCATTCATCATTTGTTCATTGCTACCTACTGATCCATTTATTTGATGTGTAGGACTGCTTAAGAGCTCTTAAAAATTTAATCTGGCTTTTTCATTATTCTTCCAGGTGTGAATGTTACGATTACTTATTTGAAATTGCGGTTCAAATGAAGTCCTTCGGAATAGAGCCTCATGAACCTCCTGCTGAAGTGAACAAAACGAAGTAATCTTAGTCATTGAGCTTTGTGAAGATGTCTCACCATAGCTACGATACAAAAACGATAACTTCCAAAAACCCTCAAGAAGGGTAAATACCACATCAATGCTGTGACATCTCAGCACAAAATTATATTTACGTACCTATGAGGACCTTTCCAGAAAACGAGCAGATGGGCGTACTTCCCTTTTTCCGGAAATTGCAGAAGTGGTTTCTTCGTATCTTAGTGTATATGTCCCAAGCAAATAGTAAAATCAGGCATTTCGTTAAATGCCCAGGCAAATAGTCAAATATTCTAACTTAGATTGAAATTCTGATTCTTTTTTTGATTTTAGACAAAATAATTCCTTGCTCCTGCAAGAAAAAATTCTCAATAAAAATTTGCACACATAACAGTATTTTAAACAATTTTAAGCTCCTGAAAAGACACTGATCTTGAAATTTTCAGCATGTCGTAAAATACAGAATTTTTGGAATTTCAACATTTAAAAATATGTGAAGCAATTGAAGACGAAGAGACAAAAAGAGTTCGTAGGTTTGATGAATTATTTTTCCACAAATAGCGAACAATCGTGAGCTCTTTGTCATAAATTCACTAAATTTTGTGTACCGTCAAAATTTGACTATCTGCCTAGGCATTTGACAAAATGCCTGATTTCACTATTTGCCTGCGACTTACATATCGTCGCTTGGCTGACATAAGGGCGTAACTACACATTGAGATGAGCCTGGAAAAGCATTGCATTGTATGAAGCCCAGGGTTCATCGCAGATTGTAGTTACGCCCTTATGTCAGGTAGGCGACGATATGCACCGAGTTTCAGCTGAATTAGTTAACATGTGAAGTCTACAGCCCGAGTTTTGTGTGGCTAAGTCAGGGGTTATAGGCTATTTCCAGGGAAAGGGTTCTTAGCGTAAGTGCCCTTTTTATGAAAACTGCGGTTAAGCAAATTTTCTGTGTTCAGTTATGTGCAAGTTCAGCTGAAATAGCAGCACAGTTGGCCGCAAACCGCACGCTGCTTCGCAATGTATCTCGTTTATCTACATCGGGGCACGGCCGCCGCGGCGTTGTGAAGATATCGCACGGTCCTGACAGGTGGGCGGGGAATACTTTTGACACCAAAGAAGTTTTTTTTCTATTTTTTACTATTCATTATTCAGGAGAGAAAAATAAAAATTTATTTTTGTTAAAAAGCTCGTTCATGTCTCTAAAGTCCATCTCAAAAGCATGACCACCTGTCCTTTTCCGAGAAAAGGGCACACAGCAGAAAATTTTACAGAATTCCTCCCACAACACTAAATCAGTGTAAGTTTTATTAACGACCTTTATTCATTCAAGGACACTTGATCTAAGGGTCAAAGTTCCAATGTGAGTCACCGTAAGTGGCCAGATACTATTAATGAGACCTTTAAATGCGTTTTTCTCAAAACAGGGGGCGCCTTAGCCTCAGGGTGGTTGAATCCTGACAATTTTCCGAAATCCGATATGGCATATTGACTTTTTATGTACCAAGGTAAAGTATGCAAGGGGACACATAACAAAAAAAAATTCTTTAAGCTTCCCCAGCGGCCTTAATTTGGGCGAACGGCAAAGAGTACGGTAGAGTCGATATATACTGGAACGCCGCTGAAGCCGATCCTTGAACGGTGCATTCTGAGCCTCCCATTTGCCGGAAAGTGGGAACTACATGACACTTTTTAAAACGGCGCGGCGCCCTATGGGCTGTAAAGCCAGAAACTCGGCAACTTACGGGTTTAGGATCGCTGCTCGCTGGACACAAATATGTATGATTCTTTTCGAAATTTTTATATCCCAAATTGCGGTGGCCAAAAGGAGGAGTATCGTTTTGGGCCTTTTCCGGCCCCACCTGGATTTTGCTGGATGTTTCATATTTTCAAAGTACTGGTCCTAGGTAGACTTTATGCCAAATATTTTACCGACCGTAGCCCATGCAAAGGTGCAACAACGTCTCAAACCCAGAATCTTGGCATCGAAAAATAGTTATTTTCGTCGACTTTTTCGACTGTTATGACTCTTCGAGCGGATGATTCCTATGTATTTTTTTGCATACTTTCCGTTTCTGGCCTTTCTAAAGGCCTCCGATAAATTTTAAGGGGTCTTATGGCCCATTGTTGCCATTTTTGGCCCATTTTTAGGGTTTTTTTCAATTTTACACACGCAGAAATCAATTCAAACCAAATGCCGTATATGTTTTAGTAAAAAAGGCAAAAAAATGAATGAAAAATGTCCAATACAACTTTTCTCTACGTTGCCAAATTTTCGAGAAGAATCGTTCCAAAGAGCCAAAAATGGCAAAAATTCGATAACTTGCCGCGCTTAAGGTTCTAGAAAGTGGGGTACAACTTTTATATTGACGTATGCAACAGCTCTTACCTACATATACAACATATCAAAAAATTATAGTTGTACCTGGATTCCCACGATGAGAAAATTGACCGGGATGTCGATTTTAGCGGCCTGTTCTTACTTGAAGGTAGCGGTTTTGAATGTTTTTCTACCTTAGTCACCCTCCATAGGTGTGTACCTTTTGTATCACTGAGATCGGTAGATCTCGCCGCCAAGCTAAAAATATAAATATAAGGAGAACAACTAAATAAAACCTTCCAGAGTAAGACCAGAAAACGCCTTTAAACGACTCTGCAGCAACCACACACACGCGGGGCGATAACCCGATAACCGTCGGCAGACGGTATAATAAACAGAAAATATTAGGAATTGCCGATTTTCGCTGCTTTTTAACTTTTGCGCCCCTGTAGCAAAAAAACTACTCAGAAGATCATGCTGAAATTTGGCATGATGATTCTTCAAGATTCAAAGGCCATACCTTTTGGTGTCTGATCTTTCAAAACTTATTATTAACGGAGATATGACGTTTTAAAGATTATAAAACGCTACCGGACTTCCTTCGTTTTCTAGAACTCCTGGCCTGGATATAGTTGTTGATTCTCATTGTTAGCGCGCCTTTTTTTTGAAGCGAAAACAAAAACACTTGAATAAACTCTTTCAGTGTCAATAAAAGAACAATTTGGGAATTTATACGGAATATAACTATCACGGAAAAGTGCGTCAAATTAAAGTATAGCGGCTTCTTTCATAAGTTCCCGGGCCGTAAGTTATTTCTGACGCCAGAGTCCGCATGCGCAATTACGGCACGGCGGCCATTCATGATTTTGTTATTGTTATCACAGGTGATCAGTGTCAATTATTGTCAAAAATCGTGTGAATTGTAATCTATGAAAGTTAAAACCCCAAAAAACTCAAAAACTTGGGTAAGGAGACTCCGGGCAAGTCACCATCCTCTTGCCATCGCCAAAAACCTCCAAAAGCACTTCTTTGTTCCCCTCTTCAGTGGAAAAAGAAAATATCACACTATGACAGTTTCCATTATAAAACCCCGAAAACTTGGGTAAAGAGACTCCGGGCAAGTCACCACCCTCTTGCCGAAAACCTCCAAAAGCTCTTCTTTGTTCCCCTCTTCAGTGGAAAAAGAAAATATCACACTACGACAGTTTCCATTTCTGTCATAGAGTACCCCAAGCGGACCAAAGAACGGAACTCTTCGTCATTTACACATTTACCTATTTATCAAAATCTCCAGGAGGTCACAGACAGGCTGGCAGCCCCTCATCGGACCAAAACGCACACCGTACCATTTTTTCCTTGTAGGTATGTGCCTCCAAAGTACATGAAATGACTCCTTGAGGGGCGGGCAAGTTTGATTGAAATTCACGTTGTCTTCTGGAAATGAGCTAAAATTTTTACCTTGAAGAAGAAGAAAATCGAGTTATCATTTTCTTCCATACACGGTAGGTATGCCCATGAGATGCACCAGGAACGCCTTCCAAAATTATTGATGCAACCCGCACGACTCCGAAGTCAGCGGAAACTCTCTTGAAGCGTTTTCTAAGATTTTCCCCACGCATTAATCCCCTTCAAAAATGAATGATGCAACAAGCGCGTCCTGTATGACCGCGAAAGCTCCTCAGATGAGTAGTCTAAAAGAAGTTTCATTCCTGCGATTCGAACTTGGGACAAATCCCAGGAAAACGTCCTGTGGAGACAAGGCCTTATAGACAGAGTATGGACATTTCTGTTCCGGTTTTTCATTGGTCGCGAGCGAATAGGCTGACACGATGCTCTTAGGGCCGTAAATAAACAAACAAGATGGACGTTATCAGCAAGCAAGATTGAGGTTATGCACATCTTACATCCTCCTGTGATAAAAGTGGAAAGCAATTTAACAATGTTTTCATGTGTTTTTCGTGTGCTATTCGTAGATTTGCTCGTTTAATTTGTTAATCTGCCGCATAATTGAACTTTTTGTCAAATTTAGCTTCTCATCGATGTTACGGTTAGGTGAGTCGCCATCTTGTTTGTTTATTTACGGCCCTAAGAGCATCATGAAGCCTAAAAACTCGTTGACCAATCAAAAAGCGGAACAGTTTTCCTGTAGTAAAAAGATACAAATGGCCATACTCTGTCTATAAAGGTACTCTACTCTACACAACCTGTCTGAGAGACATGATCGGCTCAAAAACACAACGGTTTTTGATACGCACGAAAATGAACCAAAGACCAGGCACTGGGAATTTCATTCAAGGTCACAGCGGGATAGGGAATAACATAGATGTAGCAAAGAAAACGTTTAAATGAAAGTCAGGGAAACTCCGTTCTCATGACAAAAGACAATGTTGTCAATTTGCTGGATCCGCCACTGATCAAAATTAATTGTCATCCACGTAGTAAACCTCCACGTTACTCATGTTTGATAAAGAATTATGAGCCACCTGGTGTTCGGTCAGCGAAGACTACTGAATTATCACTGCCCGATGAGAGTGAGATAATGTCAATCGTTGGTAATTAACATGCGCTCGCGATTTGAATGTAAAGTTGGACTTTTCCTGTTCCAAGCCTCTTGTCGTGAAACAAATGTGAGGTGCTCAAAATAAACTTTGGGAATCAGCCCGTTCTCTACTAGGCGTCTGCAATTTTGTTCTGTGCTCAGGAAGCAATCGTGCGTTCAGACGCGTACTCTGTGCTCATAATTGAGAAAAAGACGGAACTGAGAATGTATCTATTATCTGTGTTGGTGATTGTGTTGATACATTTTGGGAATGCCGCGGGTGATTTTCCACTCGTTGAACTTTATTTCTTTCCGCAATTTTCACGCAATCTGGGAACACAAAGCGGTCCACAATCATTGGAACTAGGGAATCGTTGTGCAGCATTACCAGCTGTAAGCGATGCTAGTCTCGAGATGTT